CCCCCCTGGTTTTTCAGATCCGAAGACTAAAGCGTGGATGCTGAAGTACCTGGATCCAGTGTTTGGTTACCCTCAGTTCGTTCGATTTAGCTGGAGCACTGCCCAAACCCTGATGGACAGCAAGGGCGTGACGGTCCACTGGTAAAGAGCCTTTAAACTGAATTTTGCAGTGGATTATTTTAAGGAGTGTCTGCAACCTCTTTGATTGTGTTCCAAGTAAATCGCTCTCACTCTTAGTAACACAAATGTTTTCCCATGTAAAAACAAACAAAAATAACTTGTCAAAAATGTTTCAAGCTTATGAAATTTGTTTTGTGGGTTTGTGTGTGTGTGTGAGAAACCGCAACGCTTTTGATTTCAACGTCACGCGTAATGTCTGTGCAAATGCTTTGACTTCTGTAGACAAGAGCTAACCACAGCGTGAACATGACTCTTGTTTTGGTAAATTTGTCCTCAGGGATGATGATGACGAGGATGGGGAGAAAGGGGCTCAGCGTCAGAACAACAAATCCATGTTGGCTTACTTCAGTGCATCAGCTGGAGGTAAAGACCAAAAATCGACTCACCAGACACACCGCTTCTTCACTGAGCGGCGGCTGAAGAGCCTCGATGCACTCTGAAGACAACACAGTAGAGGAAACACACACACAGGCAGGAAATCACAAGCTCTTTGTGGTATTTCCATGTGCGGCACAAACAGAAATTGATATGGACTTTAATGCAACACTGCAGACCTTTTTATGTTTGTATCACCAATCCAGACTCAAATTAAGGTCTATCTTTATTTGTCACTTTTGTATTTGTTTTTTTATACATAAAAATAATGTTAATAACAATGCTTTTTTTCGCAAGAGCCTTTGTTCATAAATTCTACATAATACTTGCAAAAGAGGCAAAAAGACTGTTTGTTTTGAAACTGCAATCTTTAATGCTGATGCTGCCCTCTGGCGGCGATAGGAAAAAATGCAGCAGGTGTTTCAAAAGCATATTCAACATGAACCATTGTGAGTCCCGACCGGTCCCGACACAACCACTTTCTGATGGCTGGAATATTCACCACAAAAATCCACAACTGCAGAATGCAACCTACTCGGAACAGCTTATTCCACATACATTAAAATCAACTTGTCAGGCATATTACATTATTTAGCTTACATTACTGCATAAAGTACAGGACTGTCTCAGAAAATTAGAATATTGTGATAAAGTTCTTTATTTTCTGTAATGCAATTTTAAAAAAAAAAAAAAAAAAAGTCATACATTCTGGATTCATTACAAATCAACTGAAAAATATTTCAGTTGATTTGTAATGAATCCAGAATGTATGACTTTTTTTTTTTTTTTTTTTAAAATTGCATTACAGAAAATAAAGAACTTTATCACAATATTCTAANGAGGAGGAGGAGGAGACAAGAGCCTATAGGAGATGTTTCTAATTCAAGCCGAGGGACTGAGGGTAGAGGATGTTGTTGACTGTGCGGATTGTAACGACCCCTTAGGCTAATTTGTATTAGTGATATAGGATAAAGTTGATTTTACTTGATTTTGTTCTCTTTGTTGTTCTCATTCTGCTTCTTGCCTACAAGTGTGCAAGTTCATTGCTGTGATGGCCTTATTTGATGTTCCTTTGTGCATCAATCTGTATAGTCAGGGGTTTTTTAACAGCTAATATTCCTGGTTATTTTATCTTTGAACCACATACATTTAGTAGAAAATGTGCTATGTGCAAATTAAACTGGCAACTAACACATCATTGTATTAATGATTAATCTTATCTAATGCTTGACTTGTTGATTAGTTGTTTGGTCACAATATAGTGAAAAAAGCCCAACACCCAAGTTGAAATCATCCAATAGCCTATTTTGTCTCATCAACTACCCAAAATCCAAATAAAACAAAGAAAAGCAGCAATTTCTCAAATATTTGAAAGTTGGATTAGGATATTTTGAGGCTGACTAAATAATCAAATGATCAACAAATATTGAAATGATATAAAATGACATACAGCATTATGGAGGATTTTATCCATACGGCCCACTCCTGTTTGAAACCCAGACAACGTGCATCAACGAACAGCTGGTTGAGATTCACACCCAGATCTTGCCATGAGATGGACAGACATGTTAACTAAGCACCTAACCTACCATGAGCCAGAACCTCTGCCAAACATTTCCATAAAGGTACTAAGTAACCTTACTTCAAAGTTAAAGTACTTTGTCAAGATGTGTGTCCATACACACTACGTGTTCGTATTAACATTCAACACAGCCTGTTGTTATGCTTCCTTTGCTATTTCAATGAAAAATGGCACCAAGCATTATGCATTATTCAACATACACACCTGTCACACATGGGATTCACTGCCACATCAAATTTCACAGCTTCTCTCCCTTCATTTACTTGCATCCCTGATCCAAATGTTAATGAACGACCGCTGGCATGGAGACAAACTCCCAACATGGTGATTTCAGAGAGAAAGCTCTTGAGTCCTGTTGACATATTAACTGAAACGGCACATCTGCAGGTCAAATATTCATTCAAAACCTTTCCCCCACTGAGTAACTACATGTATCGTCAATAAAACGAACTACGAAACGAACTGCTGACAGATCACTCAGGGTTCACCCTCACCACCACCACCACTTGAACTTCCCAGCTCTCCACCACACATGAACAACTCCCTCATCTAATGGTTCATCTATGGTATGACAGTGGCATACAGTGGTTTCTTTCCGTCAAATAATCTGTGTTTTTTTCCTGTAATAATTCACCAATCTCGTAATCTATCTAAAATACTGTTGTAGCATTATAAGGAGTACATTTCAAATGGTATCTGTCTTTTTTTAAATATCAGTCGTCAAGTTTGACAGGATCTGGACAGCTTCCTGACATAAAGGAATACTACAGCGTTTTAATATTGCACTTCTAAAAGCGGGGAACTCACAAGAGACAGATTAAAAACAATTATTAAAAAGGAAGGGTTCGTGAAAGAGATCCTAACTAACCTGAATTGTCTCTAAATTTGGTCTACTTAATGTTTTCTTCTTTCAAAGCTGCCTTCAGAGCCACAAAGGATATAGAGTGCCACAGTGACGCGTCCTAAAACCCGGAAGTAAGCTGCGCATGGGTTCCTTCGACAAAAAAGCAATGCAATTTCTCCATAGGATTTTGGAAAATAGCTCTAAATAAGGTCTGTGGTTGACACACATTTAAGAGACGGATCACGTTTTGTTCAGTCGGATAATCTCCACATGTCTACCCTACTTTTATAATTTTCTAAATCATAAATCTATCAATCATAAATCTATCGATTAGATTAAATGTGTGTCAACCACAGGCCTTATTTCAAGCTATTTTCCAAAATCCTATGGAGAAATTGCATTGCTTTTTTGTCGAAGGAACCCATGGGCAGCTTACTTCCGGTTATTAGGACGCGTCACTGTGAGACTCTATTACGAAGTAGTGTAGAGCTCCCTGTGTAAAATCAGTGGACTTAAAGGTCTCCTATCATGCTATTTTTAGGCATATATTATGGGTCTCAGAAACAAATATATAAAAAACATGTCTATGATGTGTTTTGCTCAAAATACCAAACAGATCATGCATTTCAGACATCCCTCATATCCCTCTGTTTCAGGCCTGTTAGAGAACTGCAGGTTCAGTGTTCTTAGCCTTAAAAAAAAAAAAAAAAAAAGAGGAGGCGGAGCTAATGCCTGCTTAGAAATCTACCGGAGATAAAGCTAAATGCTGCCGTGATCAAACGCCATCATGTTCCAAACCACATCAACGATTCTTCTGAAAGAGTATGGAACTCAAATGATTTTTCTCTTGCGGGTTTACCACAAGGTGAGATCCTATTTTTATTTCCTGCTTTTTTACACATGTGCTCTCCAGTACAGGTTAGCTCTGATTGTTAGCGATGCTTGCTAATGTAAACAAAGACCATATTACGTCCAAAACAGTCGGGCATTGTTTCTGATAGCAACGTTTCCGTGGGTCCACATTTCCGATATTACGTCATATCGGACGTAAATCCGGATCAGCTCGTTTTTAGAGATGTGGGTACGGAGGAAAAGAGAGAGGGTTTTGTTTTCTGACACTTTGTGAGTTCCCTGACACACCAGGGACACATATTTATGTATAAAAGACATCAAAAAGTGCATTTTGCATGATAGGTCCCCTTTAATAATGGTTATAAGACCATAAGTAAAGTGTGTTTGCAAATTAATATTTCTTTTTATGTTGGGTATTTAAATTGGTAAATCCTCATTCACAGCAGTCCACAATTTATTGCAATACAAATCTGTTCATCTTGAAATTATTGATTCATACAAGTATGCTGGGATTATTTGTATAACACTGCACTACAATTTCATATTTATAATACAATGAGAGTATTAAATGTTTCAGTCTGTAAGCCATGTTCACCTTGCCTACAGTATTACCGGTATGAACTGGGGAAAATGTCAAATGTATATTAACCTTAAATCCAATAATGGTGCGACAGGCCTTTATAAAGCTCATATACTAAGGCTTAGAGTAAACTGAGCTAAATGTGCGTTGGTGTCAGCAGGTGAAAAATCGTTTCCAGAGTGACCCAGTTACCAGCTTGTCTGACTCCTGTAGCACATTTAGCCTACGCTGCTTTTCTTATTAATATTAAATAATATATGAAGGCACATGAATTTTACATATTTTCTGTTCATTAGGTGCTGTGAGATTTGAGGAGGGGGAGGAGGCAGCAGCCTGGAGTAACAGCTCTAACATACAAAGACTTTTATACAGCTCTTGGCAAAAAAAGCTCTCAAACATGATGTCACCCTTTTTCAAAGGATGCCCAGAGGGAGGTCACATGGGTCAGCTCTCTGCAACCGGAAAGCTTGGCAGGGCTGGGATTTGGGATGTGTCTGCTGCTTGTGGGATCACATTTGCGTCCTGGTGAGCCACGTCAGCTCAACTATCTTCAGACTGTATAGGCATTATTTTAGGTGCTAAATGATAACATCAAATCAATGTGAGCAGGTGATTAACGACATATAAGAAGTATACAAACTGTACACTCTACAAGCCATAGCTGCAACTTATTATTTAACTTGTTTGTGATTGATCTGCAGATTCTCAATTAACTAATTGGTGTAGTCAAAGCCTAAAGCTCAGTGTGACTTTTTCCAAAGATTTTTCATCTGATTAACAGTATAAGATATTCGCCTACATTGTACTTTCATAAAAGACAAAATAAATATAGAAAATATCTAAATTTGAGGCTATAACATATAACAATACAATGTATTGGGGCACTAGCCAATGGAATAGTGAATCTTACTGTACATAGTGATGTCATTATGTTACAGAAGTGAACTAAGGGGGTCTAATCGAGGCATTCGAGCAAGGGGGGAGAGAAACTCCCACTGGGGTACATTTGGGGATGTTAGCCTTTGCTGACCATTTACATGCAGAAAAACATAAATAAAATACTACAGGAAAGGGAAACCCCCAAAAAGCACAATAGGGCCTCTTTAAAACAGAACTGTGTGGTACCTTTGTCTCCCCCTTCTGGCAGTCGAAGTAATAACAGAGAGTTTTCCCTGGAGGCTTCATCAGCATGTTATTTCTTTAGCTCCTCGTCCTATGGATGTGGATGTTATAAGCAGTCTAGCTAGAAACATACATTGTAATAAAATTCACTCAAATTACACTTGAGGCTGAAGAGCAGCAGCGTTTGCATTGTTTACTATCTCCAGGTTTTAATTACTAACTTAATGTTGTGATAATTCTGTGCTCATTTCAGTGATTTAACACAACAGCATTACATGCAGCACACAAGCCCAGCAGCCAT